AAACATGTAGTACTTAAAAATAAATTCTCTTGATCTGTCTATAGAGAAAGTTGTCTAGATAGTCTGATGAATTAAAGTATATTTGAAAATTAGCCCAACTTTATTTTGTAATATGGTAAATAGAAAGGAAGTTAAATAACCTCAGGAAAGAATCATGAAGGCTTTTCATGAATCTTTCAAAGTAACCTTTCTTTTATATAGAAACAGATGTATGATACAATAGCCACCTTTATGTAGTACTTCATAATTATTTTAGAGGATTTGTTGTACCTATTTTTAAACAATCTCATGAAATTGACTGGACAAATGATTTTTATAGGAAGAGAAATGGCAAAAATCTCCACGACTAGGCTAGAACCTAGAACTCTGTTTTGATTCTTCATTCATTATTCTTTCCGTTACATCTTTGCTGTGTATACTAAGGAAAATAGTAAATTTAGAATTGATATGTGTGATAGCAGCTGTATTTTGACTTATTTTTTTTTTATTTGGGAAGTGAACTACATTCACAGACTCTGTAAACTGTGAGCTTGATATAATGTGGTACTTTTACCATTATTTCCGGAATCTCAGTCTCTCCAAACCAAAGACATATTTAGAACCACACTGTTTAAAAATACTGTTTTAGAAATATTTTTGTCTAAAAAGGCACACTGAATCACATGTTCACACTTTTTTTTCCCTTACAAATTAGTTGCTTGTATCATGGGATACTTTGCTGGAAAGCTTTCTTACGTGAAAACTTGCCAAGAGAAGTTTAAGAATCTCGAGAATTCCCCTCTTGGAGAGGCTTTACGATCCGGACAGGCACGGCGATCTTCACCAGCTGGGTAGGCCAGACTCTGGTCTTTATTTAGTGTTTTTTTTAACTTTAGCTTATACATTGTAAAGAAACAAATATGCCACATTCAGGGCATGAAATATTACTGTTGGAAACTTGCCATTTTGCCTTAGGTTAAAGCTAATTCTATTTTAAAAAGTAGAGCAAGACTTGGCTACCATTGTTTTAAATCTAGATTTCCATCCTACTGGGAATATATGTCTCAGAATAAAGAATTTTATCTTGATTTGATTAGGCAAATAAATACCTTTGATTACTGTATTTTGGAGTTTTCTCTTGAGTTCCCAAATTTTATCAATCTCATCACTTAACAAAATTCAACCTTTTTAATGCTTCTGTTGTTGGAAAAGTAACTTATTTTTATACCTTAATAGACTTCTTTATATAAGGTTTAAGCAGTGATTCGTATTTCTTATGTAGTATGATTTTTTTTTTTCCAGGCACTATTCTCAGAAGTCAAAATATGACTCAGATGTCAGTGGTCAACCATCTTTTGTGACATCCCCAGCAGCAGACAACATAGAAAAAGATATGCTTCCTCATTATGAGCCAATTCCATTCAGTGCTTCCATGAATGAATCTACTCCCACTGGTATTACTGATCATATTGCCCAAGGTAGAAACTTCTCTTGAAATGAATTTCAGCATTTTATGGTCCAACGTATGTATAAACTTTATTTGATGAAATTTTCTTCTGGATATCACCTGTATGTTCCACCATCAGCCTAAACTCAGCATGTTCATTCATTCACTCATTCATTTGTTCATTCATTTCTTCCTTCATTCAACATTTCTTGAGGACCAGTAGTTGTTGGGTACTCTGCTAGATGTAGAAGAAATAAAGATGAATAAGATCTGGTTCTACTCTCTGAGAAACTCTCAGTCTATTTGAAGATCTCTCAGTGTAAGTGAGGTTAAGGTCAGGATGTGAATCATGCCTGGCGTTTGCTAGCTGTGTGACCTTGGACAAATAACTCTGATTTGTGATCCCCTCAGTTTCTTGATCTCCTAAATGGAGATAGTAATAGTTATTTTAAAGAACTGTTGTAAATACATGAAATAATCAATGGCAGTGCCTAACAAGCAGTAGGCCCTCAACAAAGGTTAGTGTCCTGTCTTTCTTCAAACTAAGTACCAATGAAAGTTTGAGAAATTAGAAATAGGAAGTACAGATGCACAATTCCTTATCTGAGATCCTAAAATCCAAAAAGTTTGGAAAAGCTTTCTTTCTCTTTTTTGAATAATTTGTGATGAAAGCTGATCTGAACTCATTTGGCAGCAAACTCTGACCTGAAGTGACATAAACCTATTTATATAGTCTTATCTTAGTATAATTTTTTTCTCCTAGATTTCTCTAGGGGAATGACTTCTTCAAGCCTCTGATGGATGGGCGTTAAGTGATATAGGAGATAAGTATTATAATATTTTCTAAAAACTGAATTCTGAAACACATCTGAACCCAAGGCAATAAGCCAGTAACTGTGGGGTGCACACAAGGTTAAAGGAAATAATTTTGCTTCTTTAAGATGGGAGAGATTTAAATCTATATGTAGGTTAAAGACAACAGAGAGAGAAAACTCGATTATAGGTCAAGTAAGGTTCCAGAGGATGCAAGAGTTCTAGGAGGTCAGGACATAAAGTAGTCACTAACCAACCATATGCAGCTACTTAATTAAAATAAGAAATTTAGTTCTTCAGTTGCATTGGCAGCTTTTCCAGTGTTAGTGGCTACTGTGTTGGTTGGTGAAGACATAGAACATTCCTATCATTGTGGGAAGTTATATTGGATAGTCCTGCTTTTGAGCAAAGGAAAAGGAAGGCTATTAACCTTAGATGGAAGAAGAAACAGGAAACAATGGAAATAAAGATAATTAAAGAGATTTGTAATTTTGGATGAAAGGGATTGAGAGTTCTTAATCCTCAATTTTTTCCCCCTATAAGGTAGGAAGCAAAAGCATTCAGTTAGAAAGGGAAGGAGTGAGGTGACAGATTAGGAAAAACTGGTTAAAGTCATTGTCTTTTCTTCTTCCTCACTATGTCTCATTTTCCCAGACTCACAAGGTCAAATTCATTCTACTTGTATTCTAGTAATTCACTGACTCTTTGTAATGATTTGCATCCCTCCTTCCATTTGCAATAGAAATCCCATGTTAAATAATTTGTTTTCTACATGTAAGTAAACAAAAAACCCTTTGATATCTGCCCACACCCCAGGGCAAGACCCATATTTGCATGTCTTAGGACCTTCACAGCAGCTGTCCATCTGCTCACTGCTCTATTTCCTGACCTTCAGTGCCAAAGGGAGCTCTGGTGGCATAGTACCTAAGGCATCTGATTGCTAACCAGAAGGTTGGCGGTTCAAACGCACCAGCAACTCCTCGGAAGGAAGGTTGGGCAATCTACTTCCTTAGTGATACTGCCTCGGCAACCTAAGGAGGGGTCGCTCTGAGTCGGATCCGACTGGGTGGCAGTGAGTTTGGTGTTTTTCTTTTTCAGTGCCTAAAGCATTTGACTGTTAACCAGAAGCGTGGTGGTTCAAAACCACCAGCCACTCCACTCCATGGCAGGAAGACAGGGCAGTCTACTTCTGTAAAGATTTATTGCCGAGACCTGCTGGGGGTTGCTATGAGTCAGAATTGACTCAACGGCAGTGGGTTTGGTTGTTTTTGTTTTTCTTTCTCCTAGCTAATCACTCTTCTGCTGCTCTCCACATGGGCCAGCAGTGACCTTCCTTTGCTTTGCCCTAGCTGCTGTCCTCTCATAACCAGGACACTTTTCTTTGGTTTAAGCTCTACCTTCCCTTTTTAGTTCTGCATTCTCTTATAGAAGTTCAGGGTTTTTCATCTTTCAAAGTCAAGAGCCCGCCCTCATAGCTGTTATGTAATAGTTTATTACAGTTAGATACAAGTCAGTACTATTTTACATTTTCTTATTCCTTCCAGCTCTTTATAACCTCACCAAAGTAATAAATCATACCCCTACACAATGCAGGTGAAACAGGTTGAACCCACCAGCACCTGTGGCAGAAAGATTTGGCAGTCTGCTTCTGTAGAGATTTACAGCCTTGGAAACCCTGTAGGGCAGTTCTAATCTGTCCTATAAGGTCACAGTGAGTTGGAATTGGCATTGGGTTTGTTCTATTCTTTTGTTTTGTTTATACATAAAGTGCAGAATATTTTAGTTTGGCTTTTAAAGGTGGAAAAAACTCTTGCTAATCTTCTTTATAGTTACATTTTCATTGTGTGTCACAGAATTTCAAAATAAAATATTTTCCTTTTGGGTAAGAGAAAGTATTAGAACTGGAAGGAACTTTAGAGATAATCTACTCAGATTTCCATATTTCACATTTAAGAAAACCAAGATTTAAAAAGGCTTAGTGATTTGCCCAAGGACATCTCTAGTGTTGCCAGAATGGTGGTGAGAGCCAGGATTACTGACTACTGATCTACTACATGTTATCTCTGTTAAAAGTTTTTAAATATAATTTCTGGTGAAGGGACATTGGCTCAACAATTACTCTTATAATGTACATGAAATGTAAAGTGCTCTTAAATATAATAGAAGGTTATAATTTTCTTATTTTTTAGCCAGAAAAATTAGTTTTCAACTGTGGTATAATAGAATTAATTAATAGAATTTTAAATCCTGTTTGCTTTGAATCTGCAATTTACATTTTAGCAAAATAAAAGATTAAGGTTGAAAAATTATCTACTGGATAGTTATGTTGCTTTGAAAATTCATATTATTCACTGGGACCTTACTGTTGAATTCCAAAATAGTATCACTTACAAAAGATGTTTCCTAAAAATATTTTTAATGAATAATGATTACATTAAAATGATATACCCATTTTATATGTCTCATTGAAAACCTTTTTGAAAAAATAATACTTTTGGTACTATTTTAGTGTGGTACTAAAGACTTTGTAAGTTGAGTAGTTGACTGACTGTTTTGTTAGTTAATTTCTGCATGAATATTTATATGGCCTTTTTAGCTTGGTGGTTCATTTTAGAAACTGTTCAATATTTGGTCCTGTCACCCAAAATTAAGGATAACCATCTTCTTGTTTAACATCAGTATTTGATTCTTTTATGGTATATATTGTTCATAATTTGACTCTGACCATCAGGAGAGAGAAGAATAAATGGTGGTTCCTAGCCACAAAGTATAGTTGGCATTTCTTCTCCCTAGGTATTGCATCCAGTAGACCGAAGTGAAAATGATGCACACTAAAATTAAAGGCTGTGTTTTATACTTCTCAGTAGTAATTTGCCAGTATGTTTGCTCGGTACAGAAATGGAACAGTAATTTTTAAAAATAGTTGGAATTGCTTGAATATAGACTGTGGTCATAGCATCATTTAACTGGAAATATTACTGCATAAAAACTACACTTGGTCAAATTTTGTTCAGTAGTCACCACTAGAATATATTTCTCTTTAATTCCGTGCACAGTATGAATAACTGTCCAATTTAAAACAGTGGCATTTTCATGATTTTAAATTATGCTATTATTTATTATAATATCCATTCTTTTCCTGGCCTTGATTAATTTTTTCAGTTTTTGATACTGATGTCAAGTTTTAGAAATAAAAGCCTGGAAGTGGAATTTAAAGTAGAATTTAGTGTTTTAATTATCTTGGGGAAAATATTGTAACTTTCAAATGGTGGTAATAATGTGATCTCTAAATCTATTTTGATCGTAGGCAAGCAGCATTTGCAAAATTTAGTTGCTTTGGATTTATCCAAAACCTTTTATCACCACATATTAACTGTTTGTTGTTTTAGGACCTGATCCCAACATTGAAGAAAGTCCTAAAAGAAAAAATATTACATATGAGGAATTAAGGAATAAGAACAGAGAGTCTTATGAAGTAACTTTAACACAAAAGACTGACCCCTCAGTCAGGCCTATGCAGGAAAGAATGCCAAAAAAAGAAGGTATGACAGTTTAGTATAAATCACTTTACTTTATAGAATTAAAACTGTAACACTAGTTAAAAACATTAGTTAATGTGTGATTTAATTCCTTGTAATTAACCAAAATAAAAGAAAGATTACACATTTATCAGTTCTTGCATTTTTAAAGTGTTCCAAGGACCATTCTGTGTTATAAAATAATGGAGTTACAATAGTAGTATGACTTAAGACAGTACGACTAGTTTCTGATGCAGTTTGAAATTATATATTCATTGACTCTTTTGCCCTTATAAGAAGTGACCTTGGGGAATCTGTTTTTTTCCCCTAATTATGCATCTTTTGCGTAAAGTCAGATCTGGTGAGCTGACGTTGATAATTGAGCTGTAATGCCACTTTTGGCAGAACAACAGTATCATGATTAAGTAATAAGATTGATTTTAGTCTACATTTGTAAAATTGAAATAGAGTTATATGCCTTGCAATCGAGCTTTAAAGGAGTTTCCAAAAGAAGGATTTTGCTTTTTTTTTCCTTTGACAATAGTATTGCTTTGTAATGGATTATACATTTTAAGTTGCGATGTAGGAAATCATAGTTGATTTTAAGCCCTTTTGGACAATATATGCATTGCTCAAAGTAAAATTTTCTAACAAAGAAGTTTCCCTGTAAAGGCACCAGAAGGGCAGCATTCCCATAGAGGGAAAGCTGGACAGACAGGAATGCATAGTTAAGAGAGGCACAGGGCCTCTCTTAGTCACAGGAGGGGAGGAGAGTTTACTATGGTCGGGGATGGTAATTGGGGCATGAAATCAAATGTACACAAACTGTTGAATGTAAAACAAATTTTGCTATGTAAGTTTGCACACAAAGCACAGTAAAATTTAAAAATAAAATAATAAGATTTGACAGTCTTGGGGGAAAAAAGAAGTTTCCCTGTAAGAGAAGAGTGAATTTTCGATAGAGCTTTACAGCTATTTCAATATAGAGTTTTATGATTTCTCTCAAGAAAGTTTAGAGATTATATCATTATTTCAGGGTTTTCTATTTACAGTTGTAAAAATTGAAGGAAGGAGTAGGTCCTTAGTCCTTTCTTGAGATTCGTATGCTGCAAGGAATGCAAAAAATACATACAAATCCTTACTTACTTAATTTTTTTGGTTTGCTTTTTGTTTGTCGGTTTTTTGTTTTTGGTTTTAATTTTTATTGCTATTTAGGTGAAAGTTTACAGAGCAAATTCACTTCCCATACAGCAGTTCATGCACATTTTGTTTCATGACGTTGACTGCAATTCCCCACAATTTAACAGCTCTCTTCCCACTTCTTCCCTGTAGTTACTTACCTTTTTTCCTATGCATTCCTGTCTCCCGGTGCAAACATTGCCCTCTGTTCTCCTATGATTGATACTCTAAGGAGTGTATCTGCCTGGTGTAATTGTTCACTCTGTATGCCTATTTGTTGTTTCGTTGGAACCCATGTGAATTCAATTCCAGACCTGAATGGTAACTAGGGACCATTAGTTTCGGGGATCTCAACAGGCTCTATCAGACCAGTAAACCTGGACTTTTTAATGTAAATCCTTAATATTTTTGATGATGGTTGTTGCTTATTTTTATTTTATTGTTAATGATTGCTTTCATTTAGAATTCTAATTTGTTTTTATAACAATGATAGATACATAATACCTTTATGATATCACTGATGTGAAAAAGAATAGCTTTGAAATAGAATTGTCATCTACAAAATTGTCTAATATTTGTTATTTTAAAAATATTTAGCATAAATCTTAGGCATCCAGTAGCCCTTACTCTGTAACATGTAAAGAGTCATTCATATCGGCACTTTGTTCTGCTAAATGACTTGATGATTTAGACTGGAAGCTCTGTCAGAGCAGGGAGTAATAGTTTTCTCATCTTTTTATTATTTGTCTGTACAGCAGTAGTGCCTTGAACTGAAAGATCAGAAATGGAATATTTTGGTTAGACCTATAGGAATAGACTTAAGAAAAAGAACTGTGGTTCTTTGGTATTTGCTGGCTTTTTATATTTATGGTTTTGACTGAATAGTTTTGAAGTTTCATGATAGGACATAATAATGTGAAGTGATCAATTTTTGTTTTCTTTATGAAAAGAAAGCTTTTTTGTGTGTTTTATACTTGATAGTACAGTTTAAACCACAGGGTCAGAAAGTTTCATGAAAGTTTTGTTATATCTTATGGAGGGAAATTACGAATCATTTAGTAATTCTTAAATTTGAGATTTTAACAAATGATTTTAGAAATAGTGTCTGATTTATAATGTATTTATAATTTACATTTTTAAAATACTATTTGTCTTAAACAGATAAATCAATGTTTCAGTAAAAACATTGCTTTGAAAAGATAAAATTTCTCTTCAGAGTTAGTGAATCACTCCTTTTCAGATATAATTTGACTTATATACACCTTTTTAGGACTTTGTTTAATACAAAGAAGTACAATTGCCTTGTTGTTATTGTTGTGATGTGCCCTCAAGTCGGACCTGATTCATGGCGACCCCTCCTTGGGTTTCCAAGGCGATATTACTATGAAATAGATTGCCCCATCGTCCTTCCGAGGTGTGGCTGGTGGGTTTGAACCACCAGCCTTTTGGTTAGCAGTCAAGTGCCTTGGGCACTATGCTACCAGAGCTCCTTAGACAACTCATATATGAACTGGGAATGATAATAGTACCTTCTTCACAGGGTTGTCATGAGAATCAAATGAGTTAATGTATACAAAACATTTAGAATAGTGAGTGACACATGATAACCTTTTTTTTTTAAGTACATTTGTTTAGAAAAAAATAGAATTTATCACTTTTCCATTAATAGTATCGTGGTAGTTAAGTTTGTGTGTCAACTTGGCTGGGACTGGTTGCGTGGCTAGGCCTGGTTAAGTGGCTGGGCAGATGGATGAGACTGGTAATTAACTCCATGGTGGAATCTGTTAGAGCAACTGAGTCGCTGCTTTAGGGATGTGGTCTGTTTCCTGTATATAAGAAACAGCTTTGGGAATGGTCTCTAGCCTTTTGGCACGCTTGAACCCTGCATGTAGCAAAGTTGTTGATCAACAGCCTGCCATGCCCTGCCAATCTTGGGACTTCTTGTGGACTTGAATTAGTGGCCTGCTATGACTGCTAACCAGAAGGCTGGCGGTTCAAACCCACCAGCCATTCCTCGGAAGGAAGGTTGGGCAATCCTACTTCCGTAGTGATACTGCCTCGAAAACCCAAGGAGGGGTCGCTATGAGTTGGGGCCGACTCGACGGCAAAATAACAACAACAACAATGTTGTTTGGTAACATTGGGGCTATGCCATTTTACTTGTCAACCTTGGGCTTGTCAGCCTCAGCAGCCAGCAACTGAGTGAAGAAAAGCCTTCAGTTTCAGCTGCTGGCTTCACTCAGCTGCTGGCTGCTGAGGCTGAAGCCCAGGGTTGAGGGGCTTTTACCTCAGCCCCTAGAGGCTGGCCCTTTGAACTTGGACTTAAAGCCTCCAAAACTGTAAAAGAATAAACTCCTGTTTGTTCAAGCCTTCCCTTTTGTGGTATATTCCTGTCAGAGCAGCACTTGGTAACCAAAATAAGTATCTTACAGATATAGTCACTTTAAGTTTTTGTGAAAAATGACATTCCTGACATCATATAAAAATAGTTTAATCATTTTTGCTTTTTAAGATACTGCTGTGTGCCATGAAACCTGTTGTATTTTAACCTGGCAACTCATAGCAACCCCCTTTGGGCTTCCGAGGTAGTAAATCTTTACAGAAGTAGATTGCCCATTCTTCCTTCCAAATTCACTTAACTTTTTCCATACTTTTGCAGTTTTACTTCCCATGAAATGTGATTTATTTTTTGAGTACATCAAAGTATACAATGTACAATTTTAATCTTCCCATTTCAGCCTTTATTGATAGCATGAACTCTTAATGCAGGAGTTCTTAAACTTTTTGGTCTCTGGACCTCTTTATAGTTTAACAATTATTGCGAACTCCAAAAATTTTTTATTAGGGGTAGGTGGGAACTGGAGGGTAAATCACTGCCTAGAGGGTAGACACATGTTAACTTAACTTGGGTGAAGGGAAAAAACAAAAAAAAATTTCTGTTAAAATAAAAAATTCAGTTATATAAGAAAAAAAGAGAAAAAATGTTTTTGTTTGTAAGAATTATATTGAAATTTACCAAATTAGAAATTAAGGCTAATGAGAAATTTTTAACACATACTCTGTTAGCTGTCAAAGCAGTCATGTCATCACACATCATGTTGGCTTTTGGAAAACTCTTGTATACTCATGAGCGAAGGAGAACAAGGTTTGAAAAGCCAAAAGATGAGGGGAAGGGCATGTAATGTAATGTCACAGAATAATAATGAAAACAGTTTTAACTTCATAGACTCTAAAAGGAAGTCTCTGAAAGGGTCTTAGGTTCTTAGTCCACACTGAGAACTGCTTCTTCACCTGGTTATGATCAGTTTGGTCTTCTGAAGAGTTTCATTCAAGATAAAGGCTGTGTAGAAGACAAAGCAGAGGAACATGATTCAAATTACAGTCTCCTCTAAAATCCATGAATATTGGAGATCACGTTCTTCATTAGTATTGCTCATGGGAGAGAAGGTTGAATTAACCACATGAAGACTTGACTGGTTTTTTTATTATGTTTTTTGGGAAAAACAAATTCTAAAAAAAATATTTATTTGTTGGTTACTAGGGGTGGGAGGGGA